TTTTTCACCTCTCTACACAAAATCTCCCTGGCCTCTGCCAATGTTTCTTTATGAGTTTCTTTCCTTGTTCCCTTCCTAGTCCTTCAAAAACTCATTGAAAGTATACTTCAAATCAATGAATATTAAGTGTAAACCAGCTTTGCTTAGAACTGGGCTCCATATCATGAGGGATACTAAGTAACACTTTATGCCCTTCAGACTCAAACTTCCAATGACCTTGTTAAAGGTAGGTGCGTCAACTCAGGTGTGTGTGTGAGGCAAGTGTGCGTTGTGTGGCAGGGTCAGGAAAAGTGAGCTACATGGTGAATCGGCAATGCTCAAAGAGTGGTTCAGATTATGTCCCCATGGCAGGCATGATCTATGTGTCTTGGACTAATTCAGAGGCCTCTGGCGGGAAGAAGAGACTTTATATTGATGATGAGAAAGGGAGCTGATCTAATTGTTACATGACTTCGTGCCAAACTGAACTCTGCACTCCCCTGAAATTCAGTTAGACAGCGTCATGACCCCAGAAGGGTTTAGCGCCAGCTTATTGCCATCTTCAGAGATGGCCCCATTAACTGTGGTCATAAAGAGAGATTGCTGTAAGACAGATGGGTCAGGAGGACAGGATGACTTACCCCTGGTGCAGCTATGAGGCTGCTGTTTGCGCTGAATCTGTCCTCATTCAGCTGGTAGCATGCCAATTATGTGTCTTCTTGAAGATACCATGGCAATGCATTTTGTTTTATGGTTTGCCTGCCTATTCCTGGATAAGCTTTGAGGAAAGGTGTTCCATGTTCTTAAAGTATTTACATAACACTCCTAGACAAATTACTCATTAATGTTACTGTCAAAGATAAGTTGCTAAAACTGTATACAATCACATTGAGGCAAGTCGTGGAGTTTTAAAAACCAGAGCCTTTATTTACTGCAATTCTGTGGTAGTTTGCCAAGATATTTTTAACAGAGAACTCTAGGATTTGCTAGAGTTTAAATGCCAGGGCTTATTTGATCTTTTCCCAGAGATGAGGCATGCCCACAAAGACAACAGGGAATGCATCTAACTAAATAAAGGAACTAGCATGTGACAGAGAATGCCCTAGAGCGACAGTGCTGGGTGAGGCAGGCTGCTGACTCACCTGGGAGCCTTCACATCACATCACTGGGAGAGCTGCTGCTACTGGGGACCTCCTGATGTCTGCTGAAGCTGAAGCAACTTGTATCCACACTAGGACCATGTCCTCCTGCTATGATGCTCCAAAGAGCTTTAGCAGAAGCACCAAACCATGAGCTCTTTGCTTCCTGAGGAACTGAATAAATGACAGTGCCTCTCAAAATGCTTCTCCTTAGAAATTTAAAGATGTTTTCCTCAAATATTTTATTAATCATTAGTGTGTGTATGTGTGTGTGTGTGTGTACGAATGTTTTGCCTGCATGTATATAAGTGCACCCGCATGTATATTGTGCAATGCCCACAGAGGTCAGAAGAGGGTACTGGATCCCCTGGAACTGAATTTACAGATGATTGTTAACCACCCTGTAGGTGCTAGAAATCAAACCCCGGTCTACAAGAGCAGCCAGTATTCCTAACCACTGAGCCATCTTTCCAGCCCTGTCCCTTATTTATTCTTTGCAGCAACCCTCTAAATTCTATGATTATAAGGTGTGTTCTGCTGATGAGATCAGAAAAAGAAACAAAACCAGAGAAATGTTAACTTGCCCATGGTCACACAGCAAGGAAGTGATTGAGCCCTGATCATGTGTTCTTCCTATGCTAAAAAGACACTTGTTAGTGCAGTCCAAAATTAGAGCTACCATAAAAGCCACCCAAGATGAGAACTAATCAGAGCAGACATCACAACAGCAAGATGCATGGAATAATGATTTTAATGTTCAAATACTTTTTTACTTGAGCTGGAGAGAGGGTATGGGGTAAGAGTACTTGCTGTGTAGGCATAAGAACCTGAGTTCGGATCTCATTACACATGTAAAAAAGCCAGGTGTGGCCACACAGTCACCTGTAACCCCAGGATTGCTGAAGCTTGCTAGCGGACAGCTCCAAGCTCAGTGAGAGACCCTGTCTTAAAGGAGTAAAGGAGAGAGTGATATGAGCAGGACACCGGATGTCCTCCTCTGGCTTCTGTACTCGTGTACCAGGCGTGCACACCTGCATATACTCACATATACTATACACACACCACACCCACATGTATACATATACACACAAATTTACTTACTTATTAATTTATTATTTGATGCTGGGGACTAAATCCAGAGGCTCACACATGCTTAAGGCACGTTGTCTACTAAACCCTCAGCCCTTTCATTGAGGGACATAAAAGATTTGAACAAATGTGTGTGACAGTCTCTTACAAATCCCAACATACATTTCACATGGAAAAGTAACTGTACCAACAGCCAGGAAGGAGAGAAGAAGGAAAACAGGAAGGAGAGGAAGGAGAGGAGGAGGAAGGAATGGAAGACGGGAGGGAGAGAGAGGTTTTAATCTATGTAGTACTGGGAATTGAACCCTTGGCCTTGCACTTGCTAGTAAGGGCTCTACTACTGAGCCATCCCCCTGTCTCAGGTATTGTATGATTTATTAGCAAAGATATGTGGCTGGGAGTAGAAAAAATAGATTACAGAACAATACGTATAATATGATCTTGTTTTTGGACCAAGGAGAACATATATCATCAATACAATGATGATATTGGTATTCCTGTTTTGTGTTCTTTTGTGGAGTGGTAGGCAGAGCTGCCTGGGGGAACCCATGATCTTTTTATTTTATGTGAATGAGTGTACTGCCTGTGTGTAGGTAGGGCACTCATGTTGTGCAATGCCCACAGAGGTCAAAAGAGGATGTCAGAGCCCCTGGAACAGGAGTTACAGATGGTTGTTACCTGCCATGTGGGTGCTGGGAATAGAACCCAGGTCCTCTGCAAGAGCAGTCAGTGCCCCTAATTGCCGAGCCACTCTCCAGCTCCGACTCTTTTTTTATTTTTTAACAGCCAACATGAACTGGTTTTAGAATAAGTTTTTGGGGGGGTTTGGGTTTTTTTGTTGTTGTCGTTGTTTGTTTGTTTGTTTGAGACCGGGTCTTCTTAAACCCCAGCTGGCTTGGAACTCACCATGTAGACCAGGCTGGCCTCCATCTCACAGATCCACCCAACTCTGCCTCCAGAGTGCTGGGATTAAAGGCATGGGCCACTATGACTGGTTCTAGAATAATTTTTTAAATCACTGGACTGAGATCAGTAGACAAAAGAGGACTTTGCCTTTTGCTAAGCCAGTTAGGAAGCCACTCAGCTTAAATGTTGCTGAAATGTCCAGATAAGGCCCCCAAAAGAAAACATAATTTTGGGACTTCTAGTCCACAGATATGGACTTCTAGATCTAGAAATACTGTTTTGTTATCACCCAATTTCCAAGAAAGTGAATCTTTTTTGCCCAGTTGAGTTGTTCTGAATGATACAAGTAAGGGGTTTATTAGCACCTGACTCTTGAGAGAAAGTATTTTTTCTTTGTTGACTGTGTGTGGCGGGGGATGTTGGGTATCAAACCCAAGACCTTGAAAGTGTACATGGAGGGGAGCACTTTGTCACTAAATCAACACCTCCATAGCAAAAGAAAAAAATTCTTCAATTTCCAATGAGCTTCCATGTTAAATAAGTTTGGTTATACCGAGGGGCTGTTCATTGTTCACTTCCCTGCCTCAGATGTAGCCCTGCACCCTCCCCATCTCCCATGCTCCTCCTGTTCCCACAGCTTCTTTGCCTGGCTTCAGAACGAAGACACCACACACACACACACACGTATGTATACACAGTATGTCCCTCCCCCGCCAGGGAGAGAGCTGTCATCTATCATGGATTGTTTTCTTTTGTTTGTTTTTCTGAGACAAGACTCACTCTGTTTCCCAGGCTAATATA